ATGCGAGCCCGGGCTCGACTCTGCCCCCCTCCACCGGGGGGGGGCCGGCCAGCTCCATCGGCACCTTTGGGCCCCGTGCGGTGTAAGGGCGCAGCTGTACGCCCGGGGGGCAGCGCCTCTCGCGCTCTGCCCAGCCCTCTGCTGTTGCCTGGTTGATATTCCTGGAAACGCCAGGGTGTTTGAAGGGAGCGAATGGAACGTGCGCTCCGGAGCAGAGCGGGAAGATCCCGAGGTGGCGGTGACGGGCGTGTGCTGTGGGGCATCGCGGCGCGCGTGCTCCTGGGGTCCTTCGTCCCGCTCGGGTCAATCAAGGGCTGTGCTGAGTGCCCGGGGGCCTTGCTTCTGTAAACTGCGGATGCCGCAAGTCCAGAGAGGATGTGCAGACCTGAAGTTGTGTGAGGAATAACACAGCTCCCTTGGATCAGCCTTGGATACAGGCACTTTGGCTGTAAGTGCAGTGGGAATGAGAAATGAAGCCCAGTGCTTGGCGTTATGGCATTGTCTTCTCCTGTAACGAAATGAAATGTCTTTATATCTTCATAAACTTTCTTTGGAAGACGCGTCGCTGTTCTCGACCCTGCGACGTTAAGGCAGGAGCAGCCTGCGTCGCCTATGGAATGCTATTGCAGCACGGACGTTGCCTCCAAACGGCGTTCCCCGACGGACAGTCAGGGTCTGTCTGTGCTGCCTCGCAGGGTGCTCTGCCTGCGAGGGGGGTGCTCGGCCCTTGCACGGGGGTCCGGAAGAAAATTGAATGCAAAAAAAAAAAAAAATCAAGGAAACATTAAGTTTTTAAAAGCAAAAGTATTGACTAAACTACTGCCATGGCAGCAAACTCAGCAGCATGCTGCCGCCTCCTCCCTGGCTGGTTTGGGTTGGTTTTGCCCTGGGGGGCTGTGTGGTCCTTGCAGGGTTTGTGATGAACCAGGGTGAGCCAGGCCCCTGACCGCCCCCTGGCTTGTGGGGTGGGGGGCTCGGGGGCCTCGCGAGCCGGGTGCTGTGTTCTCAGCACTGACGCTATTGAGCCCCACAAACTGCGCTGTGACGCTTTTTCCTTTTTTTGAGTATTTGACACCCAAGTAAGCTGGCTTAAGAGGTGCGTGGTGTGCATCAAGTCCAGCAGAGGTGATGGTGGGTGGTTAGGGCACGTCCCCAGGGTGGGGGATGCTTGTCTGGACCTCAGACATCTGTCACTAAGCCCCTGGGGATGGGGACCCCTGTCCCAAACCTCCACGCAGAGAGGGGTGAGGTTGCTCCCAGCTCCGCTGTGTCTGTGGGGCCGCACCTACAGGTCAGCCCTTCAGAGCTGGGCTTTCCAACAGACCCCTCTTCTCGGGGGGTCCTCTCCCCTGCCAGGGAGGTGTGTGGGAACGGGGCATCCCCCTTCCACCCCTGCCAGGGTTAAAAGCAAACGGAGCCTCCAAGGGTGGCGATGGAGAAGAGGGGGTTCTTGTTTTCTCTGCCGCAGAAGAATGTGCGTGGTGGGAGCTTGGGTAAATGTCAGAGCAGAGGCGGGGGGAGAGGACAGGGGTTTGGGGGGGAGAGGACAGGGGTTTGGGGGGGAGAGGACAGGGGTTG